TTTGTCAATTAATGACAAATCTCACTTTGGCACAAGGATAATAACGCTATTAGTTATTTTGCTAGTGACTTTGACAGATTAATCGATGGGATCAAAATTGGAATAATTGAAGTTTGTAAATTATAACAGAATCTTTAAGAAAAATATGAAATCACTGTTCATAAATACTATCTGTCATCGTAATAATAAAGTATTACATATTTCGCAAAATCTGCATTTCAAAATATGAGAAAGTTGAATATATATCGTCTATTCTGCATCTATTGTTGCGTGCTACCTCATACACCGCCAGGTGAAAAGCTAAAGGCGCAGTAAACCCGCTATATACAACTCCAAGAAGTATAGCAAAAGAGAAACAAGGAACTGCGTGTGGTAGTAGCAGACATACGCTCTTTCTTCACCACTACAGTAAGCAAACAACGGATACAGATCATATTCTCAAATTATTTTCATTTCTCGAAAGTTCAAGACCTGCTTTTTCATACATCTTTCCGGATTCTCTATCGTTGATCTTCCATCAGCCAACCGAATCATCTTTCTCTCCACTTTAAAACATCGCATAAAATGAGCTCCACAGATACTGTCAATAACTATTTAAGATTGCAATTTGTTGCATTCGATATGATTATTTCACAAAGAATTTTTGAAATTTTTTTTTGTTTTATGAATTTTAGAATGATTTATATCAGATATCCAACTTTTTAATATAAGTAGAAAATTTATCATCGAAACTTTACTGATTTTCAACTTGAATAGTGAAGCCCTTTGTCTCATTTTGGCAATAATATCTTAAATTTTCAGCGGATCCTTTAAATTATGGCATATCAGTTACAATCTTTTTTAAGGAAAGACTGTAAACAAAAAAACTGTATCAAATTTTTGTTGAACCTGGTCTTCTGAAAAATCCAAAATACTTCTTTTTCCTTCCGTTTTTTATAGAAATATAAAATATCAAAAATCTAAACGTTCGAAAAAAATCTAAAATTTCAATCAATTTCAGGACACCTTTTCAGTACCTTCCTATTGGTTTTTTGTGCTGCTATCGTGATCCAAATAAGTTCTCTAATGGATTGTTTTTTAATTAGAAAAATTATGTTTGAAATTGTGCCTCCAATTATCTACTTATTTTATTTTAGGCTTGTAGCCAACTGTTAGAAGCGGAAATGCCACGAGGACCAACAGGGCAAGATGGCCGGGATGGCATTTAGGAAAGCCAGGAATTCCGTGAAAAGATGGTTCGCAAGGAATACAAGGAGCACCAGGGACCATCAGGGGAGCAAGGTGAGATAGGTGATGAAGGAGAAAAGGGACTGAAAGGACTGAAAGGTCAACGAGGACCACAAGGAACCATAGTAGTGGCAGGGCGATAGAAACAACAAACAGCGGAATTTGATGGAGACATCAAAGTAATCCCCATTAGTGATATCGGTTTTCTTTGTTTTAGTTATTGTGTGTGCACCAACCTATCGTTGATATTCCTTCCCTATTATGTCATGACATTCGTAACCTGAAAGTGTTGTCAGTGCTTTGCAAAATTTGCTTACATTTGTATGTTTTCGAATCACAATATTTGAAGAGGCAAAACTCGAAATTTGACTGATTTTGAAATAAAATATTTTGCCTTTTCTAATGGTTAGCTACCTTTTTTACTGTGTTCCAATCTTCAATTATTCCAATTCTGATGACATTGGTCATTCTGACAGCGCTGCTGACATATTCATCATACAGCATTATAGTTAGGCGGAAATTTTTTTCCAATTTTTCTCCTTTTACAGTAATAAAAAGGTGGATTTTTCCGTGAATGAGAGGAAGATTCGGTTGACTGATAGAAGACCTACAGTTGGTAGAGAATCCGGGAGATGGAAGAAAAAATAAATTTTGAATCTACGAGAAACGAAAGTAGTTGAAAATCTAGTTAATGTCAGTTATTTATAAATTGTTTTTTAGAAATTTTTGAATCTCTTGAAATCTTCAACTTTAACCTTCTTCCCTCTTAGTGACTGCAATTGAAATACAAGTTAAATTTTTTGGATTGGAGAAACAATGAGTTGTATAAGCCATCATAATGAAGAAATATTTTAGAAATAAAACACCTGAAAGTTTCGAAGTTCAGGTAGAACTCTACCAGTCAACTTATCCAGGAATCGCCCCTACAACAGAGTATTCCTTTTTGCACAATCTTCAAAAAATTGCAAGCTGAATTTTTTGAAAATTCTGTTTCGTTACCGATTACGATTTCAGGCTTACAGTTCTCATAACATGATCAAAGCACTAAATAACCCAAACCAGAAAAATAAGATATCAATGGGAAGCACTCTTTATCTCTGACAATTTCCTCTATTGAAAAATCTACTTATCACAGTGCTCTGCATCTTTTCTATCCTTGTCAGTCAGCCATTTCATAAAGACCGATTTCATTGGCTGATGCTTCCGATGCGGATATTCTACTATGATTTGCTTCTATCATGACCAGATTGACTTCCGGACGACGAAGGATAATCTAATTTACCACTATTACTATCTTCAATTCAGATAACCGACATCAGTCAGACGCTCAAACCACTTTTGCTTCTTGAAAGTTCAAAACTTGTTCTATCCATTCTCATAAATTCTATATCCTATTCTATATCCTATATCCATCTTCTATCAGTCAAACGAATCTTCTTTCGTTCACTTAAATCATCGCATAAAAAGATACGTTTACCTCCCATAGATACCGTCAATAATCATTTAAGGTTGCATTTTGTTGTACTCGATATGATTATTCCACAAAGAATTGTTGAAATATTTCTTTGTTTAATGAATTTTGGAATGATTGATATCAGATATCCAATTTTTCAATATAAATGGAAATATCTTTTCAAAATTTGTTTATTAAGTTTTAATTTAAGTCTTCAATCCTCCCTCACATATTTCCTATAGCAGGTAGGTTTTATATCGCAACTTATTCCATACATTTNATAAATGAGAATTTAAATTTCCATTGCTTATAGAACTCAAAAAGTTGTAACACTTTTGAAATGTATGGAATAAGTTGCGATATAAAACCTACCTGCTATAGGAAATATGTGAGGGAGGATTGAAGACTTAAATTAAAACTTAATAAACAAATTTTGAAAAGATATTTCCATTTATATTGAAAAATTGGATGCCTGATATGAATCATCCCAAAAATTCATAAAACAAAAAAATATTTCAAGAATTCTTTGTGGAATAATCATATCGAATGCAATAAAATGCAACCTGAAATGATTATTGACAGTATCTATGGAAGCTAAACGGATCTTTTCATGTGATGATTTAAATGGACAGAAAGAAGATTCTTTGATTGATAGAAGATTAACGGTTAATGCAGAATTTATAAGGATGGATGGAAGAGCAAGTTTTGGGCTTTCGAGAAGCTGAAATGATTTGAGCATATGACTGATTTCGGTTATCTGGAGTGAAGATAGTAACAGCGGTAAATTATATTACCCTATGTTATTCGGAAGTCAGTCTAGTCCTGATAGGAGGTCAGTCATAATAGAAAATCCAAATAGAAAGCATTTGTAGCGAAATTGCGTTGATGAGATGGCTGATATCAGCAGAAAAGCTGCAGAGCACTTTGATAAGATAAATAAGACATTTCATAAAAGAAAATCATCGAAAAAACTAAATAATCCTTTAAATAGCATCCAGTCTTCGTTTTTTATTTGGATTCTTTCTGTTTTATTCGCATATTCTATTATATCATGAAATTCATAAACTTTATATCGAAACCGGTAATGGAATAGAATTTTTAAAAAATCAAAAAAGTCACATTGGTTACACAAATATGAAAGGGCAATCAATTGATCATTGGATAGCTTAAGTTTTGTCTGAACTTCAAAACCTGCAAGTAATTGAGAAATTTTCACCATGATAGCTTTCTGCACTTTCATTGCTTCACATATTCAGAAATCCGAAACAATTTCATGAGAGCCAAAACTTTTCTCTTCGATTGTTATCAACCGCTGATCTTCAATCAGTCGACCGAATCTTCTCTCCTTTCGCAAATATGATAAAGAAAAAAATCATTGCATTAAAAAATGCATTTAACATTCATAGAGAGCATTCAATAAATGAATATGGAAGCACAGGCTGTGGAATTTATGGAAACAAACCCTATCAGTGATATCAATTCTTTTATTTTCATTGCTTTGTTTACACAATTTATTGTTGATGTGTTCTTCCCATCATCCTGCGCAT